ATACTTTGTAAAATAAAGCTATAATGCTAGATGGTTTATAATGCTGAGAATCAGCAAAGTATCTCCATATGGAAAGAATGGGTGACTTAAGTCAAAAGGAGATTCAGGATGTCTGTAAGTGAATCCCGTTTAACACTCACTATAAATAAATTCCATTTAAACTTGAAATCTCTTCAGACAACAAATTCACTGACATCAAGCTGTGCTTTACCTTCAGGATATCTTAATCTTTGTCCTTACAGTAATCTGGAGATTAAGGAAAGTCAAAAATAGTGACGAATTCTGAGCTGTCATTATCATGTTGCTCACCTTTTTTTCCCACCAAAAACGACTTAGGAGAGTTAGAGAATCTTTATATTGAAAAAAAGATTTGTAAGAAATTACACTGGGCTGGCACAGTGGTGTGGTGGGTAAAGCCACTACCTGCATCCCATACGGATGCCGGTTTGAGTCCCGGCTGCTCTACTTCCAATCCAGCTCTCTGCTATGGCCTGGGAAAGCAGTAGAAGATGGCCCAAGTGCTTGGGCCCCTGCACCCACGTGGGAGACCTAGAAGAAGCTCTTGGCTCCTGGCTTCAGATTGGCGCAGCTCCAGCCGTTGCATTGCAGCCATCTGGGGAATAAACCAGTGGATAGAAGACCTCTCTCTCTCTCTCATTCTCTCTCTCTCTCTCTCTCCCTCCCTCTGCCTCTCTGTAACTCTGCTTTTCAAATAAATAAATCTTTTAAAAAAGAAAAAGTATAAAAAAAGAAATTACACTTTGATTGATTTATTAAGAAATCAAGTCTACTCTGATAGCCCCTAGGATGCGTCATGGGAAATGAATTATTAAGTTTCTCCAGTTAACATATTATGAATATGAGTTTTCTTCACAGCACTTGTAGGGAGATAGTTTTAAAAATCATTTTCATCAAATATTGATTACACAGTTACACACAAATAATATAAATTATGTGTAAAGTACAAAACTAGCCATGTAGCAGTTCAAAAAATGTTTACCTATAACCCAGTTTAAGAAATACATTAATACTATCACTCTGTAAGTCTCCTAAATGCTTTTCTTCAGTCCCAACCCATCTCCTGGGTTTTCCCAACATCCCAATAACCATAATCATATTTCTGTATTGTTGCCAAACATATTTTTAAAATAGTTACCAAGTACTTTTGTATTTAAAAACAGTGTATGGGCCGGCGCCTGGGCTCACTAGGCTAATCCTCTGCCTTGCGGCGCCGGCACACCAGGTTCTAGTCCCAGTCGGAGCGCCGGATTCTGTCCCTGTTGCCCCTCTTCCAGGCCAGCTCTCTGCTGTGGCCCAGGAAGGCAGTGGAGGATGGCCCAAGTGCTTGGGCCCTGCACCCCATGGGAGACCAGGAGAAGCACCTGGCTCCTGGCTCCGGATCAGCGGCGGCCGTTGGAGGGTGAACCAACGGCAAAAAAGGAAGACCTTTCTCTCTCTCCCTCTCTCTCACTGTCCACTCTGCCTGTCAAAAAAAAAAACAAAAACAAAAAAAAAAAAAAAAAAAACCACAGTATATGAGGGGCCTTCAAAAAGTTCATGGAAATGCACATCATGGAAAAAAAAACTATGCATGGATTTCAGAAAAATAATCACCATCTTTTAGTTCCATTTTCCACAAAACTTTGAAAATACTCTCATATAGTTTACTTTTGAATGGCTTAATACTGAATATAAATGGAATTATCAAATATTGCAAAATCTTGAATTTGGCATTCTTGCTCCTGAGATTTGTCAGCAGTGTGGTTATAACTCATTGATTTACTGCTGCTTAATATTCTATTATATGAATATTTCAAAATTTATTCAGTCTACTACTGTGTTGCCTCCAGATTTTTGCTCTTAATAAATAGTGCATCCAAAAACCTTACACATATTTCCTCATACCCATGTGCTTGTGGTTTTTGCAAATAAGGACAAGAGTGGAGTTCATAAGTCATAGGATTTGAGCCTCTTCAGTTCAGTTGGAAAACGTATAACATCACTGAAGTGAGGGTTCCTATTTACATTTCCACCAAGATCACATAGTGATCTGGAGACTTTGTGCACTAGGCAGAACATGATACTCATGCTTTAAAATTTTTGCCAATCTAGTGGGTATGAGTTAGTTTCCCGTAAAGTTCTTAATTTCCCTTCCTCTGACTCTTAATGAGATTGAATGTCATATATTTTCTGAATTACTGTTTCTCAAGTGAAATGTTTCTTTTGGCTTTCCCAATCTACCCTGTACCCCCACACACTCCTTTTATCTTCTGGTGCATACTATAAGATTGTTTGCCTTTTTCTTGTTGATTTTTAAATATCTTTATATATTTTAGAGTCTATCCCTTGTCAGTTATATGCATTGCAAATACCTTCTTCCAAAATAGCTTATCTTTTTATTTATTTTATGAATGTTTTGAGCAATTCTTTATTTTTTTACTTTTATTTAGTAAATCTTTATTTTAATGTACTCTTTCATGCATTTTGTGAGTCTTGTTTTAGAAAGCATTTTAATTTATGAGCATATTCTATATCATTACATAAATTGGAAGTTGTTTTCTATTTATATTTAGCTTCAATTTTACTTTTCCCCATAACTGTTCCAATAGGTTTTCTTTGAAAGGATGGCATCACCAACACATGAAATGTAAACTCATCATCAATTAAGGCACATACATTTTTTTCTGTTTCAGAGTACTCATCTGGTTTGTTGACTGATAATTAATATAGCTTTATAATATTTCTTTACAGATTATCTCAATAGGGCAAGTTTATTCAGGAATCATTTAGCCCTTTGGGACCTGTTGCTTCTCAATGCAGCAGTGTCTAAATTTTAGAATCAGTGTGTTCGTCAAATTCTATAACAGAATGAAGACTAAAAAACTAAAAATTTTTAAAAATTTTACTAGAATTATATTGAATTCACAGTTTTAAAGAAAAAACTGATAGTTATTATATATTTTAATCCTTAAATACGGCATGTGTCTTTCCATTTACTGAGATTTTGGTCTTAATGCTGTTCCGTTAAATTTTGTATTTTATCCCCATTAGTGTCACACATGTTTTTAAATTTATATTTGGTTAACTTATTTGAAAGACAAAACACACACACACACACACACACACACAGGCCTTTGCATACACTAGCTCCTTTCCCCTGATGCCTGCAACAACCAGGACTGGGCTAGGGCAAGTCCAGGAGCTGTGAACCCAATCAGGGTCTCCCCATTGAATGGCAGGCACCGAAACACTCAGGTCATCACCTGCTTTCTCCCAAAGTGTGCATCAGCAGGACAGTGAGATGAGAAGAAGAGCCAGGACTCAAACCTAGGCTTTCCAATACGGGACACAAGCATCCCAAGCACCATATTAACTATTATGCCAAAAACCCATTCCTGACCTATTTTTAATTAATTTATTCATGTCATTTTTATATCATGCAAAAGGTTATATTTGTTTGATTCTATTTTCTCTTTGTAGCCAATTTATAAAATATGATTGAAGTGTTTCATTGATTCATATATCCAGTCTTCTTGATAAATTATTCATTCTTTAGATGTTTCTACATTTAAAATATGCTGTGAATAATATTGAATGCATTTTTCCCTTTTAAAATACATACTTCATTTTCCCCTGCTGCCCTGACAAAAATGTCCAGTAAAAGTGATAGCAGGAACCCTGGTCTTTGCCTTATCTTAGAAGTAATGTTTTTAGCCGGCGCCGCGGCTCACTAGGCTAATCCTCCACCTGCAGTGCTGCACACCGAGTTCTAGTCCCGGTCGGGGCGCCGGATTCTGTCCCGGTTGCCCCTCTTCCAGGCCAGCTCTCCGCTGTGGCCAGGGAGTGCAGTGGAGGATGGCCCAAGTCCTTGGGCCCTGCACTCCATGGGAGACCAGGAGAAGTACCTGGCTCCCGCCTTCAGATCAGTGCGGTGCGCCGGCCACAGCGCACCGGCCCCGGCGGCCATTGGAGGGTGAACCAACGGCAAAGGAAGACTTTTCTCTCTGTCTCTCTCTCTCTCACTGTCCACTCTGCCTGTCAAAAAAAAAAAAAGTAATGCTTTTAATGTTTTATCATTAGGCATGATCTCGGGCTTTGGGTACCTTCTTTAATTAGGGAATAATGTTTACCTATAATTCTTAGTTTGAGAAGAGTTTTAATAAAAAGGACAGTTTAATTTGGTCAAATTTTTTCTGTGCGCTGATTTTTCCTCAATGTGTTAATATGATGCATTATTGAAATTTATTTTCTGCTAAACACAGATTCCCAAATGATCTCACATGCATTAGAATGTTCATCACATTTAAGCAGTGCTGATATTTTCTGTAAGATTTTAATGACTGAATGTTGTTTGGATTCCAAGATAGCAGAATAGCAAATGGTGTACTACTCTAGGCTATGGGTCAATAGTTAAAAAAAAAAAAGTGTAGGAAGTACATTCTCAGGGTAGAGTTAGAAAGGCAACCACAGTGAATATACTGTGGATCAGTGTGGAAGATGTGGGCACACATCACAAACACGGACACACCAAATGACCCCAGCAAAAATTAAAGTAGAACATGCTGTTCTATCCACTGGTGATGTTGCAAAGAGACTGGGTGAGATGTGGAATAACACATGCAGATGACAAGCAGCCTTATGAAATGAAGGCTGCCAAACTGAAGGAAAAATATGAAAAGGATATTGTGGCATATCGAGCAAAAGGAAAGCCTGATGCAGCAAAAAAGGGAGTCATCAGGGTTGAAAAAAGCAAGAAAAAGAAGGAAGAGGTAGAAGGCGAAGAAGATGAAGAGGATGATGAGGAGGAGGAAGATGAAGAAGAAAGTGAAGATGATGAATAAGTTGGTTCTAGCACAGTTTTTTTTTTCTATAAAGCATTTAACCCCTCTGTACACAAATCACTCCTTTCAAAGAAAAAAATTGAAAAGAAAGGCTGTGTAAGATTTGTTTTTAAAGTGTATAGTGTCTTTTTTTGTATAATTAACACACTACTACTGAATATGTCTTTAGATAACTCTGTCCTGGTGGTATTTTCAATAGCCACTAAACTTGCTCGGCAGAGTATGGGGGCTGTAAATTGGCATAGGAATTTAAAGCAGGTTCCTGTTGGCTCACAAATTAGTTATACATGGGGATGGTAGTTTTTTTCATCCTGAAGTTGTCTCTGAGGCAGCTTATACCATATAGTTGTTGTTCTGTTAACTAAATACCACTTTGTAATTGCAAAAATGTAGTTGCAGCTGTTTTGTTGATGTTCTGAATGCTTCTAAGTAAATAAAGTTTTTTATTTAAAAAAATCCAGAATCTATAAAGACCTCAATAAACTCAACAAGAAAACAAACAACCAGTTAGGAAATGTGCAAAGGACTTGAACAGGCATTTTTCAAAAGAAGAAATTCAAATGGCCAACAGACATGAAAAAATGCTCAGGATCACTGGCCATCAGGGAAATGCAAATCAAAACCACAATGAGGTTTCACCTCACCCCAGTAAGAATGACTCTCACACAGAAATCAACAAACAATAAATGCTGGTGTGGATATGGGGAAAATCCACTGTTGCTGGGAATGTAAACTGTTGTAACCATTGTGGAATACAGTATAGAGATACCTTGGAAATCTGAAAATAGATCTACCATATGATCCAGCAATCCCACTCCTGGGAATTTACTCAAACAAAATGAAATCAGCATTTGAAAGAGTTATCTGTACTCCCACATCACTGAAGCTCAATTCACAACAGCAAAATATGGAATCAACCCAGATGTCCATCAACTAATGTCTGGATAAAGGAATTATGGAATATCACTTATTTATATATAGAATACTACTCAGCAGTAAAAAAAATGAAATCCTGTCTTTTGCAGCAAAATGGATGCAACTGTAAACCATTATACTTAGTGAAATAAGCCAGTCCCAAAAAGATAGATACCATATATTTTCCCAACTCTATGGTAATTAATAGAGTACATAAAATGTAATGTATTAGAGTGAAATTGACGCTTTGAGATTCAATGATTGTTTACAGCACTTGTCTCTATTGTTGAGAAACAGTGTTTTTCCTCATACTATTTGTTGAACTCATTACTTAGTGTAGGGTTAATCTTAAGAATGTAAAGTAAACTTAAAATAGATATTTGTAGAAATCAAGTGTGGGGCACCGCTGCCGCCTCCTTCTTCTGCCGCTCCTGGTGCTGCTTGTGTGCGCGTTCGGTGCGGACCTGGTACCTCTTTTGTGAAGCGGCAGCTGAGGAGACCCCAGCGCTCGCCATGGCCCACGAAAAGCCCAAGGAGTCAAGACTGAGAACAACGATCATATTAATTTGAAGGTGGCGGGGCAGGATGGTTCTGTGGTGCAGTTTAAGATTAAGAGGCATACACCACTTAGTAAACTAATGAAAGCCTATTGTGAACGACAGGGTTTGTCAATGAGGCAGATCAGATTCCGATTTGACGGGCAGCCAATCAATGAATCAGACACACCTGCACAGTTGGAAATGGAGGACGAAGATAGGATTGATGTGTTCCAGCAGCAGACGGGCGGTGTCTACTGAAAAGGGAACCCGCTGCTTTACTCCAGAACTCTGTCCTTCAGACTAAGAACACATTCTCAGCCAGAAAACTGCGACTGGGTTCCACCACACCCTGACTACTGCAGCATAGTCTCTATTCTTTCATTTCCCCTCCCCATTCCTTTATTGTACATAAAGTAACTGGTGTATGTGCACAAGCATTTGCATTTTTTCTTTTCTTTCTCTCCTTTTTTTTTTTTTTATTTATTTTATTTATTTATTTATTTTTTTTTTTTTGACAGGCAGAGTGGACAGTGAGAGAGAGAGACAGAGAGAAAGGTCTTCCTTTGCCATTGGTTCACCCTCCAATGGCCGCCACAGCCGGCGCACGGCGCTGATCCGATGGCAGGAGCCAGGAGCCAGGTGCTTTTCCTGGTCTCCCATGGGGTGCAGGGCCCAAGGACTTGGGCCATCCTCCACTGCACTCCCTGGCCACAGCAGAGGGCTGGCCTGGAAGAGGGGCAACCGGGACAGAATCCGGCGCCCCGACCGGGACTAGAACCCGGTGTGCCGGCGCCGCTAGGCGGAGGATTAGCCTAGTGAGCCTCGGCGCCGGCCGCCTTCTTTTTTTTTTTAAACGAAATGGCCAATGGTATGTTTTGATTGACATCAAATGGAGATGGAATGGGGAAAAATCCTGGTTCTGTGAAAATACCCCTTTTCTCCATGAGTGGCATGCTCATTCAGCTCTTATCTTTATATTCCAGTAAGTTATTTTGCTCTCACTGTTTTAACAAAAAAAACCAACAACATAAAAATCCTTGCATACCTTGTTTGATTGGAGAATTTTAATGTTTTTCATTTATCATTGTAAAACCAAGGACAATTTTATAACTTTTTTGTACGTAGCTGTTACATGTAGGGCAATCTGTCTTTAAGTAGGGGTAAATTACTCTTAAAAAAATGAATCCTAGATAGTTTTCCCTTCAAGTCAAGTGTCTTGTTGTTTAAATAAACTTCTTGTTTAAAATGAAAAAAAAAAAAAAAAAGAAATCAAGTGTGGGAATAGGAGAGGAAGGAAGAAGGGTGTGGAAGCATGGGTGGGAGGAAGGGTGAAGTGGGGATTATCACTATGTTCCTAAATCTGTATATATGAAATATATGAAATTTGTGTACCTTAAATTTTTTTTAATTTTAAAAAGATTTTAATAACTATGTTCAACACTTATTTGTAGCATAATTTTCTTGCATTGTTCTTTTAGATTTTGGAACCAAAGTAATGAAAGTTTCATAAAATGAGCTAGGAATATTTCCTGTACTACTATACGTAAGAATAGTTTGTGTAGGATCAGAATTAGTTCATCTGTTGAATGTTTGGAAGTATTATAGGTAAAGTAATTGAGCCGTTTTTGGGAGAGTCCATGAAGGATAGCTTTTAACTACTGGTTCAGTTTCTTTAATGGTAAAAAACCTACTCAAGTTTTTTCCATTTATTTTTCCTTAAGTTAGTTTGATTTATATTTTTATAATGCATCCATTTTATCTAACATCTTAAATTTGTTGACATATTTGAATAGTAACCTATCATTTTAAACTGCACAGATCCCCTCCTTTTCACTACCAGTTTTTCACTCTTTCCTTTTTCCCTTGTTTAGTCTTGACAATTTATTGATTTTAGCATTCAATTCAGATAATTTTTGGCTTTACTGGATATTTTTTTCTTTTCACCTGCAACTCTATTATTTCTTGCCTTCTATTTTGCACAAGGTGAATTCAGATTTTTATCTTATGTCTCAAACCCAAGGCATGCATTTTAACCAACATTTAAAGTTTCTAATGTGATGATTTAAGCTATTTAAATCTAAGTAAGAACCACTTGATTTCATCACATAAATTTTCTGGGTAGCATTTTGATTATCATTCTGTCCTCAGTACTTTTGAATTTTCATTATCTTCTTTGACCTATGTGTTTTCAAGAAATATTTCATTTCTAAAAGCATAAGATTTGCCTATTCTTTTTGTTAGTTACTTTTAACTTCAGTTCACTGTGGTCAGAGAGTATGTTCTGTGTTACCTGTTTTTTGAAGTTTGGTGAACCCTGCTTTACAGCATAGGATGCAGTGAATTTGTTATAATTTCTGGGGGTCCTTGAACAGAATGAGTGTTTCGCAGTCACTTGGTGAGATTACTTGTGTTTTTCAAATCTTCCATACCTTTGTCGACTTGGTATATTTGACCTTCAGTTACTAGACAAAAGGATTAAAATTTTCCACTCTGATATTGTATTTGTATTTTCATCCTTTTCCTTTTATGAATGCATAAATAAAAACTGTTATTATGTAGATGTATATGCAAGTTATACTTCTTTAATCTTGCTGGTAAATTGAAATTTTCCTCCATTTTGTCTTACTCTTTTATCTCTACTACTATTTTTTGTCCTAAGGTAAATTTTGTTAGACACACACATAGTTTTGTCAACCATTTGCTGACTACCCATTACCCCTCCATTTTTAAGCTATTGTCTGAACTTGAAGTGGATTTTTTTGTTTTTAATCAACACTTAAAATCCTCACTTTTGACTGGATCGTTATATTTTTATGTTCCTTCAAATAAAATTAGGAAATGGAACAATAATATTAAGCTGAGACCAGTTTCCCTAAATATCACTAAAACAATCTAAAACTCATGTAACAAGCCACTAAGCATTTCTGCATTATATAAAACATTTAAAATCCAAGTTATCAAATTATTTAGTGTTTAGTTTAATGGCTCTTTACTGAATCCATTCTGCCTGGTATGTATCTATTCTGTATTAGAAACAAATTATCTTGATTTTCCATGCATTAAAATAAATATATACTGTTACATGACTAAGCTAATAAATTATATATTAAACATGATAGGAATACTGTCTGAATTGGATCTTAGTGTTTGTACCCCTGGGTAACTGGCAAAAGCAAAGACAGAAGCAAAAGCCTCAGGAAAATAACAATAGCATGTGTTCCACTTATAAAAATATGAACATACAATTTTTGCTCCTTTAAACAATCTTATGACTCCTTTAAATCTAGTCACACCTTCCTGACTTATATGTAATTATTGAATGTAATAGTTCTACCAGGTTCTAAACCCCAAAATGGTACATTGTTTTGTGCATTCAGTGCTGTTAATATTTACAAACATAGTCAATATTTTGTCCTCTAGTTTTTTTATGTCTTCCATATAGAATTGGCTTATTTTGCCTGGAACACATGCTATTTTGAAGGAGCATCTTTCATTGATAAATGTCAATTTTTCCTCATCTGACAATGCCTTTATTTCTTTTTAACTATTCAACATTATTTTTGCTAAGAATATAGTTCTAGATTGACAGTACTTTTTCTCATGAAGTTGAAAATATCCCACTATTTTCTGATTTTTGTTGTCATTTCTGGAAAGTTGATTGTCTGTTTAAATCCTCTCTGGTAGGATTTAAAGATTTTTCAGTTCATGCTCATTTATTTTTGCTTATTTTGCTTGATGGTTTTCATTAGACTGATCAATTTCTTAGCAAATTTATTTTCAAAAATTGCCTTTATCTAATTCTTTCCATCTGCAGAATGTCAATTATTTTAATTAAATTAGAACTTTCCCTTTTGGTCCTACCTCTTTTCTGACATGTTTTCTTTTTTCTTCATTTATTCTGCTTGATGATTTTCATTAGATTGGCAAATTTCTTGACAAAATTTTCTCCAATACTGCCTCCATCTTATTCCTTCTCTTTTATTTGCAGAAATCCAATTATTTTTAAGGGAGGTTTTGTTTTATTGATAGAATATTTGAAAGTATTGGATTTTATTTGTCTTTACCATTCACTTACTAAGCAGATCAGGCTTTACTTATGACTATGTTTTACCTGGAAAATGTTGACTTAGTAAATAAATATTGAGTTCCCACCATGTGTCAGGCAATGTGTAATCTTTTCTTAGAAGACCAAATAGTTGGAAAGATATTTGAGAAATTTGGCAGTTGCAGTACAGAATGATAAGAACTTTAATTAGAAGAACGTCAACAGGGTGCCTGACCAAGAAAGTGATTCAAGACGGGGAGCTTCCTTGGCATGCATACATCTAACTCATTCCCGGAGAGTCTGATGATTCCATTTTCTTTGCTTCCCCAAACCTTCAAGTAGGAATAATAGAATGGCTAGAAAGAAAACTCAGCATCACACAAACAAAGTATTGTATTCAGTGTGGGAAGATTGTATAACTATTTGCTCTCCCTCACTTTGCTTGTTAGTAAAATGTATCGGCTCGTTGCTGAATAGCACATCTTAAAATAATTTATGCACTATGGCATCACAAGATAATTTTTTATCTACACGAGGATTTACTGCTTATTTGTTCACATCAACAGGTATGAGTAAGATGAATCAGGAGAGAATGATGATTCTCATTAAATATTAAACCTGTATCCATCTAACTTTGCGCTTTGTTCTGCCTGTCCCTTTTCTGTCATGTTCTCTCTTTTTCTCACTGCTAGATTCTGAAAAAAATTTTCAGATTAATAATCTAGATCCCTAGTGTTCTCATGCTGTATTAGAGTATCAAACCTAATCATTGCTTTATTTACAATGCTTTTTCCTTTCTCAAATTTCCATTTCTTTCATTTTCCAGCCTGCTTTGTTTATTTATTGGACCTTCACTATATTTTAATTCCCTATTTTAAAAGAAAATATTTTTAAAATGCAAAATGTATCAATTTTATCATGTTTGATAAATTCAATATCTAGAAATTTTGCTAGTTTGATTCAATGGTTTATTTACCCTACTGATGTGCATTTGTGTTGTCCTGTTTCCTTGGTGTTTGTGATTTTGATAATGAGTTCCTGTTCATTGGAACTTCCTCGGCAAGTAGTCCCTGAGGCCTGGCTTGATATTGGATAGCATGTTTGCATTTACTTCCTCTAAGCTCCTGAGGACACAACCAACCTGGAACACCTTTAAACTGAAATACTATTAATAGCCTTTTTGAAATTCCAACATCATATGAATTCAGTCTGAAGATGCTAGTTTTCTGCCCTGTTAAGAATTGTTAGTAAAGCTCTCGCTCATAAAACTAATGCTAAATTTAAAGATAGGCATTTTTCTTTCAGTTTTTTTTCATTAGCCTATGAATTAAGGATTCAACACCTTGGGGGTTTATGCATAAAGACTCAGTATTATAACCTACCTTGAATAGT